AGGTTCTCCTTACAGGAAGTAAAAGCATTTACCTGTTCTTATAGCTGTCTCTGGCCTGGCAGGAGTAGGAGAGGCAATGTGGCTCCTGCTGCTCAAGAAAGTGTGAAATAAAAACTGCCCTTTTTTGGCATCACTTTGTGGGTATTTGTATGCAGCTACATATTTATATACCCAAATGAATCTTGTCCTTTAAATTATGGAATAAGTTAACTATATATTTTTAATCCACAACTATGCCACTACTTCCCAGTCATACTATTTTATAATCATATCTCCTCTTTTAGCAAAGAAGATACTGTCTTGATCTCTTAATTCGCCAGAATCGATCTTTGATAATTTTTGGCTCTTTCAAAAAATTTCAAATTTATTTTTAAAGAGCATATTTGTCACCAAAATGTTTCTTTTTATGATGCAGGAAAGAACAGTCCAGCTTCTGAAGTTAGTTATAAAAGAGAGTCCCCCAAAGTATTGAGAAACCATACGTTCTTCAACAGTTAAACAGTTTCCCAAGGTGACTTTTTTAAAGGTGATAGATAATATTTATGGATATTTTATTTTTGGCATACTTGCTATTAAGAAATTAGGTTGCTTTATAATCACTAAGTGTATATGTGTGTGTGAAATTACTGAGGCTTTCTGGGGGAAGAGGTATTCAGTCTTTCACCTTCTAGTTATTCTGGATGAATTTAATAGCAATCTATAGGTACAATGACTATTACGGATTGAGAAATTGCATTAGGAATTATAGATGCATATCAGTAGAAAACCATTTCCTAGTCCACATATTGATAATTTGGAATATGAAAAGGACTGTCTTAGGATCTTTTAAACAAATAATTGCTTTGATGATAATTTAACTTACCCCAGACTAAAAACCATAAAGTAAATGTATTTAACCCAATAGTGTAAAAGCTAAATTCTGGACTTCTAAATCTTCAAACAAAATTTCTCTGAAAGCCAATTGTGTCCTTTGTTAGTAACAAAGTAAGTGGTTCTTCCATTTTTTAAAATACAGGACTTGTTCAGCAGTATTTTATTCATATCTGCAAAGAGAGAATTGTTTAAAATATTGACAGATAATGCTTTATTTTTATATTTATCATCTTTAAACATCAACAAACAGGATTCAATCTTACATAGTTATACTTTATTGATTTCCTATGATGTGCAAGGTACTGTTAGAGATTTTCATTAATTTAGTATTTTATTGTCCTCTAAACAGCCTTGCAAAAGAGGCATTTTTTTATCCCTATTTGATAGAGGAGGAAACTGAACTTAGAGAGGTCATATAACTACCCAGTGTCACAGGTAGAAATGGGACAATGGGCATTAAAACCCAGGTCCAACTGACACCATCATGTCTCTCCTCCTTGCCCCCTCCTCCATATGCTCTTTACCTTGAGGGAGTTGGTAGGTTTGCCTGTGTAAAGAGACAATCTGAGTATGCTAAGCTTAAATACTCCCCAAAGAAGCTATTTAAATGACAAATTTATCAGAGACCAGTAGGTTTTTGGACATGAAAAATCCAATAATTTAATTCAGAGATGCCCAAGGGCTTTATTATGAGCTACCACTTTCATTTTACAAGCATCTAGGATATCCTTATTGCCACCAATATACACAGATTTTTTTTTTTTAAAGTCCTGACTCGCCTTCTATTCTCCAGAAATAAAGTCTATGCTCTCTTAAATATGCAAGCCCCAGTTTTCAGGATTCTATCTGCCAGGATAGCCTGGTTTATGCCCTGATAATGAGCAGCTCCAAAAATCTTGATTGTTTAGTATAATAAATATTTATTTCTTGCTTATATAAAATTTTATGTTATGTCTGGGTGGATCTTGAGGGCATCTGCAACACCCACCCTCCCAATATGGTGACTCAGAAGCACAGGCTGCTTCAGTATTTCAGCTCTTCCAGTTCAACACAAATCCCCTTCCACAATCACAATGAAAGGCAGCAGAGAGACTTGAGAATCACAACCGGCTTTTCACTACCATAGGCAAGAAATGATTTGTCACTTCTGCTTACATATCATTAGTTATTGTAGTCACATGACCTTGCCATTTGCAGGGGCAGATGAGAAAAATAGTTTTCTGTGTGACGATAAGGCTTAGACAGTCTAGAATCTGCCTGCAATGCAGGAGACCTGGGTTCTATCCCTGAGTCAGGAAGAGCCCCTGGAGAAGGAAATGGCAACCTGCTCCAGTATTCTTGCCTGGGAAATTCCATGGACAGAGAAACCTGGTGGGCTGCAGTCCACAGGGTCACAAAAGAGTTGGACATGACTTAGTGACTAAACAACAACTACAAATGCCGAAAAGGAGAATGAGATACCACTGAACTCTAGTAATGTTTGCATAATAACCTGCAGTTGTCTATGTCTGTTGTATAGGTATAGAAATAGCCATTTGGAAATAGAACTACTTAGTCCAGATGAGTAGCCAGCAGCCTCTTTTCTTAGCACACTGCTGCTTGGGTTTACTGATGCAAAACACTGCCACCAAGCTTTTTTCTTCTCTCCACCTTTAGCGAGAGGCCATGCAGGGACATGTGACAGTGTAGTGTTGGGGACACAAGGGAGGAGGAGTAGACAGTCAATAATGAAAGGGAAGAAGCAAGGGTGCAATAAAACTCACAGGCTCCTCACTTCCCCCCAACCTTCCCCTTGGTCGTTGCAGTTATCTCCAGTCCTATTCCATCTCCTCTTTCCCCTATCCAAGTCCCTTCCTGCTCTTTGATACATAGCCAAGAAAGCTGGAATCCAGGAATATTTTTGAACATAAATGGATCCTATATCTTTCTATAGGTATGGAAATACTTATCAGCACCCATATGCTAACACTGGGAAGACTGAAGAAGGTAGGTCTTTGGAGAGCCCTTCCAAGAAAAGTAATTAGGTGCAGAGGGAGGTGGGAGGGAGGTTCAAGAGGAAGGGGACACATGTATGCCTGAGGCTGATTCATGTTGATGTATGGCAAAATCCATCACAATATTGTAATCATCCTCCGATTTAAATAAGAAAAAAAAAGAAAAGTAATTAGGGAAACCAGGGAAAGAGAAGTAGCCCTATGGTGGCATGATTAGCCTTCAGACAACCAAGAAATAACTGTAATTTTAATCAATTCGTAAGTTACTGTCCTGGGACCTAGTCCTACCCATCACTATGTCAAAGCCCTCTACTGTGTCCTTCACTTATTTAAAAAAAAAAAATAAGGTCAAAATAGGCAAATTTTTAGTTGTCTTTTCATCTCATTTCTCCTTTTCTCTTTCCCCCCGATGCTCTGTTTGGATGCCATACCTGTTTTTTTTCCCATTAGGCTTCTCTGTGCCATTTTTTTTTCTCATTTACTTGGTCATCCCAGCTTCCCAATTGTTTGCATCAGCGGGCAGAAAGTTGCTTACTCCTCAATCCCAGAATTCACCCTGTTGGGGTTGGGGTCTGTGTATATGTCCCTATGGACTGTATCGTATGTGTGAGTGTGAGTGAGTGTGTGTGTGTATGTGTGTGTCCCTATGCGTGTGTGGCCCATAGACTGTAGACCTCCAGGCTCCTCTGCCCATGGAATTTTCCAGGCAAGAATAATGGAGCAGGTTGCCATTTCCAACTACGCAGGTTCTTCCCCACCCAGAGATGGAACTCTAGTCTCTTATGCCTCTTGCATTGGCAAACGGATTCTTTACCACTGCACCACGAAATGGGACTAAATGAAAAAGGCCCAGGAAACTAGTGCACTGGATTTCTAAATCCCATCCTTCTTAAATAACTTCAGCTACACCCAAGGCCTGACGGACGAGACTGGGCTCCGTGCCCAGGTGGCAACGACGACGTGGAACTATCAGCCTCAGGCAGCCCCAGCTGAAGAGATAAGGAGTAGTTAACGACAGCATTAAAATATGAGAAGCCCCGGAGGAGCACCGGGCTTGTCCACCGGAGCCAGACCCGGCTCCTCAGTGCTGTCAGGCTCGTTGGTGGGGAGGGGGGGCAAGATGGCGCCATTCTTCCCTTCTCCCAGGCTGAGCGTAGGGCGGGGCCGCGCACGTCACGTGACCGCGCTCGCCGGCCGCGCGCTCCCCATTGCCCCAGGCGCACGGCAGGAGTCCGGTGCCATCGCAGACGGTGGCTCTTCACTCCTACTAGGGATGTCTTCTCGTGTCCCCGCAAAGTCTGGAGGCGCTCTCGCTGCAGCTGAGAGCCGGAGCGGGTCCAGGAAACGGGGCACTGGGCCGCGCAGAAGCAAAGGGGCTGCAGAACAAGATCCTTGCAGCCCGCGCCGAGGCGGGAGGTCTGAGCACTCAGCGAGGGGCTGGGCAGGAGACCTCGCGGGCATTCTGAGGGACAGCCGGGCCGGGCGTTGAGGGCGAGGCTGTTGGGGAGGTTGAGCTTTCCACCCTGACTATGAGCGCTGTGAGGGGCTCCAGGGTCCCCTCGGGACGCCAAGCATTTGACTTGGCCATTTTCCGGGTTTCCCATGGTCATCTAGCCTCGAAGCCAGCAGGACTGAAATGGGCTTCAGCCAAATGTTTTCTTCCCTCTGAGGAGAGGGCCTGAGTCTGTCAGTCTGAGGAGACTCGAGAGGGCTGTCCTGGCCTTCGGTGGTGGGAGCTGAGGTTAAAGAGGGCGGCGGGAGCAAAGAGCGCCCTCCTTGACTATCAGAAACCTCCTGTGTTTCCCTCTCTGCTAAGTGGGCTTGGCCGAGCTGACCACCCAGGAGGGACGGACGACGCTCGGCGGGCTCTGACCGTGCCGCCTTCATGTGGCTGCTGACAGGGACCCGGGAGGGAGCGGGCATGGGGCAAAGCCTCGCCCTCTCAGCTCCCCGCCTCCCAGGAGCCGGGGCTGGCGATGTGGAAACCTGAGGGGATCCGTGGCTGCCCGGGGTTCTCCAGGACTCCACCAGGCACCCGCGCGTTTCTCCGCGCACGGGGCTGGAGCAGGTGGCGCCGGGGTCTGAGGCGAGCGCACGGGCGGGCGACGATTGAGCGGGAGCCCCAGCCTCGCCATGGGGCATAACGGTAGCTGGATTTCCCGAAATGCCAGCGAGCCGCGCAACGTGTCCAGCGCCGAGGCGGCGGGCGGCAACCGCAGCGCGCTCGGGGAGTTTGGCGAGGCGCAGCTGTACCGCCAGTTCACCACCACCGTGCAGGTCGTCATCTTCATAGGCTCGCTGCTCGGTAAGCCGGCCGCCGGGGCACCTGCCAGGTGGGCTTCCCCGAGAGCTCAGGCTCGGAGAGCCGGGATCGGGGGTCGCTGGAGCCTCCTTGGGTTTCGGGATGCCTGGAAAAAGTGCAGATAGTTGAAGGAGGTTTAAGAATGCCAGGGTAACTGAAGGGAAGTTAAGCAGGGATGGTCGACCGCAGCGCCCAAGCTGGAAACGGAAGAGTTTCGGTAGGGTTTGGTCCCGAGTGTAGGTCAACCTGGAGCCTCCCGGAGAGGCGGCTCTTTGCGGACCGCTTTGGGATGGGCACGGGGTTGTGCCCATCATACTTAACATCCTGGGTACCATGGCGGGGCGCTGGCCCCGACCTTTTGTTTACAAATACAGAGCCACAAAGCTTCAGTTTTGTTGCCGATGACTGATGTGTTTTGCGCTCCTATCTATTCTTTGTATACATTTCTGGTTTTTTCCCCAAGAACCTTATTTTACGCGCTTTAAAAAAAAAAATGGCTTGCTTCTTTGGAACACCGACCTCCGGGTAAACAACCTTGTGGAGTTAAGCTCTGTGTTGCCTTAAGATTTTTTTTAAACCCCGAAACGAAATAAATCCCAATACACTTTTCTCCGCATGTTTTTTTTTGTTTGTTTTTAAAGTACAGGATAAAGGTAGGAGAAAAAACACAAAACACTACACACAACAAATTTAGGGATACTTGTTGGGGGACGAAAAGACCAACGAAATGAAATGAGTGGTTAGTAAAAGTGCACTAATGTGAGAATTACCTGAACTTCTGGTAGCTACTCTTTAAATGATAAATGATACAATGAATATTCATTTTTGTTGAAATTTGTTGCATGTTGCATATTACTTGTAAATATGTGGCTTCCTTTCAAATATAAATTCTCTGATAATGACATTTATAACGTTGTGAAAAATTGTTTATAATTATGTGTGATATTATGGCCAAGAGCAGTCTTAAAGTTTCAAAGTAGGAATAGATTACTTTTTTGTAGACACTTGTGAATTTCCATGGAAACCAAGATAATTGACATCAAAAAGACCATGAAACATCAACTATACCTTAATTTAAAAGAAAAAGAAAGAATAACACACTGTAGTAAATTAAAAAAAGACTATGAAAGAATTGTTTTTAATTTCCTTATATAACTTCTCTAATTGTCATCATCCTGTCCCATTCTGGCATATTTATCTTTCACTTTTTGTCATGAGGACATTTTCAGGAGCTGACACTAATGGGCTATATGTAGATTTATGTGTGTATGTTATGTGTTTTTATGAGTGGAATATATATGCACAATAACAAAGCAAAAGCTTGTGTCCCAAATATTTTCAATATTCACTTAACAAACAGTAAACACTGGACACCACCTGGGTATCAGGCACAATGCACTAGAGATTTTTTAGAGTTAAATTCTAGTATTGCCACATTTACTTAAAGAGTAGATTATTATTGGGGAGGCAGTAGAAGTGGCTGCATTTTTATTTCTGCATTTATTCTGCATATATCTGCATATACATATATATGAGAGAGAGGAGAGAATGTTTTGTTTTTTTCATTGATAACTTTAACCCTGAAGAAAGATGGTACCTAGAGAAATTTTCTCATAGGTTGAATCTAAAAACTTCAGTGCTATTGAAATAGAAAACAGAGCATGTATATAAAGGACAGAACAAACAATACACAGTTAACTAATGCTTTGCTTTCCATGTACTTTCAGTTCTGGTAACTTGCATTGGATTCAGGAATTCCTAGGTAAATATGCCCTTAATTGAACTTTTTCCACACAGCACTTTAATTGCCATGCAAAAACTGCTTTTATGGATATCTTCAAAGAGAAGACTGATTTTGCTCCTGATCTTTGGTTATACTTGACTTGACCTAGTCAGGATTCCCCCTTACACATGACTTAAGCCCTTCTAAGAAAGAATTCCATTTGCTCCTTTTTATTTTTTCTAAGAAGTATAAATATGGTTAAATTTCTAGAAATCAAAAGTCAGAGAACTTGTGCAAACATGAAAGGCATTTCTGGTTTTCATAAAGCTTAGCTACATAGCATTGCCCTGTGCACTTGTTACAGGTATTATTGGTTCATTGTTCTCTGGGGATTTGACCCATACAAACATGTCTATGTCATTAAATCCTGGTAAATGCCAGTTGAGGCTCTCAGAGCTTAAGTTCCAGAGCCATGTGTAGTCAGTTGCATGGCAAGTAAACTTGGGAAGCTTGGTTTCGTGAAGCCCCAAAAGAGAGAAAAATTATCCCAGAAGAATCTAGGATAAAAAGTAAACAGAAGAGTGAATAGTATCTGGAGTAGCATATGACACTGATTTAATCTGCTTGTTTCCCCTGTCTCTGAACATGGGAGAATGAATTTTTCCCTTTAAGTAAATTCAAATATACTTCCCATATTGTCAAAATTGATTTTCGTTGGGATTTCCAGAAACCTGCTATATATGAAAATTTCTTTGTACTGTTGACATCTTACAGCTTCTTTTGAAAACTGTTTTAGTGCCATATGAGAAAAAATAACATCAAGGAATAGCTATAATATTTCAACTCAAGGGAACATTATTTGCTGTGTTGAAAATGAACTCGAGAATTGCATATATTATTATTCAAATAATGCCTTTTGAAGATTTGTGTGAGTTAGTGTCTCTCAGCTTTTTTGTGCAACATCTTGGGATATACAGGTAGATGTTGAAAGAGAGTCAAATAGTTCAGATTGCCCTTTGATAAATATATAGCATTAGTAGTGAGCAATGTGAAATCAAAGACTAAGAAAGAATTGAAACCATCGTTTCCAATAAATGTGTTGGATCTAACTCCTCAGAGTTGAATTTTTTCTTTTCCCTTATTCTCTTTGGATTCACAATCTAAGGACCTGGAGAGTGGGACCCATTCTGGTGCTTTGACTTGAAAAAGGTCAGTGGCTGTGACCTACTGGATTACCTCTCAGCTGCTTCTGGACAGATTGTCTCTTACCTGTAATTATCATCATTGGAGGCATTTAGATTTTTATAAGTGAAATTTCTCTTATTTAAAGAAAATTAGCACTGCAGAAAATAGCCAACAAGTGTGTATCCTACCCTGAAATTTATTTTAAAATAGAGAAATCAGCCTGCTGTCCTTTTGCCAAACCACCATATGTACAGTTCTTAATTTTAACCTATCTCCGTTTTCCTTAGCAATAGTCTACAGTAAACAGACTATACCTATATGAAGTTGATGACCTCAAATAAAGGTTCAAGTTGTCTGTTGCGTGATTTCTTGAGATGGTCATTGAAGTAATAATTTCAAAGGAAAGAGGGAGGGAAATTATATGTTGAATTGATTTGACAGATATGGAGGAACACTATTTTTGTTCATGATTGTCTCTAATCATTCAACAAAATTATATTGAGTATCAGCAGTATTCATGGCACTTGTTTGACAGAGAAATATATTTGTGCTTTTGATACTAGTTGAAATTAACCAGTTAATAGCTGGATAGTTCTTGGAGCTCCTTAGTTAAATTTTTGAGAGAAACAATGTTACTGCTAGTTTGTGTTCATAAAGCATATATACAAGAATGATTTTTCGTAATTATGTACAATATAGTATGTTGGCCATAATTATAGCCAATAACAATGTAATATCAACAGTCTGTATACATACATACATACATACATACACATACACATACATATATATATATATGGCTTCTCTGGTGACTCAGTGGTAAAGAATTCACTTGTCAGTGCAGGAGATGCAAGAGATGTGGGTTCAATCCCTAGGTCAGGAAGATCTCTTGGAGTAGGAAATGGCAACCTACTCCAGTATTCTTGCCTGGAAAATTCCCTGGATGGAGGAGCCTGGCGATCCACAGTCCATGAGGCCACCAAGAGTCAGACACAACTTGGCAGGCACACACACATACACATGATATATATGATAGTAAATATGATAATATATATTATACTATAATATAATAAATATATTGTTGTTGTTGTTCAGTTGCTCAGTCATGTCCAACTCTTGGCAACTCCATGAACTGCAGCATGCCAGGCTTCCCTGTCCTTCATCATCTCCAGAGCTTGCTTAAACTCATTTCCATTGAATCGGTGGTGCCATCCAATCATCTTGTTTTTTGTCATCCCCTTCTCTTCCTGCCTTCAATCTTTGCCAGCATCAGGGTCTTTTCTAATGAGTCAGTTTTTTGCATCAGGTGGCCAAAGTATTGGAGCTTCAGCTTCAGCATCAGTCCTTCCAATGAATATTCAGACTGATTTCCTTTAGGATTGACTGGTTTGATTTCCTTGAAGTCCAAGGGACTCTCAAGATCTAGTCTTCTCCAACCCCCACAGTTCAAAAGCATCAATCCTTCAGCACTTAGCCTCCTTTATGGTTCAACTCTCACATCCATACACGACTGCTGGAAAAGCCATAGCTTTGACTAGATGGACCTTTGTTGGCAAAGTAATGTCTCTGCTTTTTAATATGCTGTCATAGCTTTTTTTCCAAGGAGCAAACATATTTTAATTTCATGGTTGCAGTCACTGAAGTGGTTTTGAAGCCCAGAAAAATAAAGTTTGTCACTGTTTTCATTGTTTCCCCATCTATTTGTCATGGAGTAATGGGACTGGGTGCCATGGTTATAGTTATTTGAATGTTGATAGTTATTTGAATAGTTATTTGAATGGTAAGCCAACTTTTTCACTCTCTTCTTTCACTTTCATCAAGAGGCTCTTTAGTTACTCTTCATTTTCTGCTATTAAGGTGGTGTCATCTGAGGTTATTGATATTTCTCCCAGCAGTCTTGATTCCAGTCTGAGCTTCATCCAACCCGGCATTTCTCATGATGTACTCAGCCATGTAAGTTAAATAAGCAGGGTGACAATATACATCCTTGATGTACGCCTTTCGTGATTTGGAACCAGTCTGTTATTCCATGTCTGGTTCTAATTGTTGCTTCTTGACCTGCATACAGATTTCTCAGGAGGCAGGTAAAGTGGTC